CGCAAGACGAGAGCTGGAGAACTGACACAGGGGTAACCAATTAATTCCACAAATTGTAGAATAATAATCTAGTGACGATAAGTGTGTAAACCAAGTGTAGTAAAGGCACAACCATAAGCAACTGGCGCAGTTAGCCTTTAAGCAATTTACAATTTAGACTCTTCTTAGTAACCAGCCCATCTTTGAGCAGAGACAGTTGAAAAAATAAGCTATTCGCTACTTTTGCCATGACTGGAGTCATGAAGATTTTTCACAAAACTGCTGAGTTCCCACAGGTTTACGATTAATCAAGCCTTATATTGAAACGCCACTTCATTCTTTATCGTTCTTTCGTTTCGTAGAAGCGCTACGATCTTCATTCGAGCTGTGCCTTCCCCATCACGGTGACCTCAAATCAATTTCGACCTAAAGTATAGGTGATTTCATAGTAAAGTATGAGTAATATTGTAGTTTGTAGGTTTTGCACCAAAAAAAGGCTCCTTAATCATTTTCAGCCCGCTGCAAATCTAACGGTTTTTCAACAGCAGTCAAGAATTAGGAAGGTAAAGGGAGGAGAATGAGCTGGCTGAAACAAGTGTGATGGCGGTATTCTCTACCTTCGGGCATAGTATTCCAATTTCGTAGGTTACACCGTTATTGTTCATTCTCCAATAGCTCATCTCATATCAACTTTTCTTTTTGGGGCCGTTTGAAGCAGGAAAAATTAGCTTAATTACTGTAGCAGCCGCCTATGGAAAATCAATTAGCAGTTGAAACACCAGCGCCACCCCAAAAGGGAAAGGATTGTGCAGGAACAACTCCCTCCCATATATCGTTCTGCAAGCCCAGTTTTTCCCGTGTTATCTTTACGCACTTTGCCTAACTGTTTCATTCATTAGCGGCCTTCGTGGCGGTCAATTTCTCAGCTATTCCGATTCACGAAAAAGTATATTTACGTCAGTATAAATCATGTATAGCTATCTTTCGAAACATTTATACTTACGTGTACAGCCGTCAGTGTTATTGAATGCACAATGATGGCGACAAGCGTGATCCACAGAAATACCTAAAATCAATGGTGTCAGCGAAAACACGAATGTCAAAAAAAAAGATTTTTACAAAAGAATGAAGCCCAAACAAACTTCCCAAATACGGTCCTTTTCTCATGGCACGCAGCACCTTTTGAGACTAATTGTAAGCGAATAGTGAACGCAGCGAAGGTCATTCTCGAAATCGCTTCAGGGCTTACAAGGTGAGATACAGGGGATCGAAATTTCAGCGATTTGAAGAGGGACTCTGATGGTAGGGTGAGTGCCATGATTCCCATTTTAAATTCATTCATTATACAGCATAACTTGCCACGCCTGGTTCAAGCTATTTTCCTGAACTTCAGTCCATCTCAACTAGATTTTCAAAAAACGAACAGAAAACCTAAGTTTTTGTTCGGGACAATCCCTCTTTGAAATGAATTAACTTCCGAATCGTGATGGCGTATAGAATGCGTATGGGGACTTCATAATGAACTGCGCCGTCAAACCAAGAAGGAGCCAGCACTTTTGCCCTTCTACACGACGCAGCCCCAATCAACTGAAGGAAAGCTTGGTTGGCTATCATATTCGGGATTCGAGCCCTGCTCCATGCGTATGACAGCGCACCTTACTTCCCACTGCTCTACGTAGAACACGTGGGCATTCGAGACTCCATTACTACAGATTACTCACTATCCCAAAGATTTCAATATCACAATGAACTGTGAAAAGCTCTGAGAGCATTATTATTATAAACACCCTTCTGTAAAGAATGAACTGCGCAATACGCGATAAAATCTAACCTTTGTGTTTTGTGGTAGGAAATGCTTTGAAGAATACTTGATGATGTAATAAAGGGAAAAGTAAAGGCCAAGCACGCCAGTGACGACGTGGAGAGCCTGCACGGATCTGTAGAAGAAGTCGATGGAGGTCTCGTAGTCCAGGCAGCACGATGACTGCAAACTCTCTGGTGTGTCTGTCACATTGTCAAATGGGCAGTGTTGCATGGTCACTGAAACTCGTGTGTTAGGTTAGGTTTTAGTCCACGGAAGGGCTCAACCATCCCACGCATATACGACAAACAAATCGAGGGAGTGTTGAGAGATCCAAAAGAGAGACCGAAGGGTGATTCTGAGCATTGGACGATCGTTACAAGCATGATTACTGAAAAAACAAGACTCAGTCCAGGCTACAATCTCAAGAAGATGTCTGAGCACCGGATCACTTATTGGATTTGTCGGGGTTAGTTCATGCATACTTGCTTGATGTAGTAACCTGGGTCCAGTGGTGCTAGTGATAGTTCGAGGTTTATCCGCAGAAATGAAATCGAGTTTTTTACTTTTTTGTTGTAGATCGCTAAAAACAGGCTCCTCTAATGCCCAACCTATCACTGAACTGTAAAGCAAACTATGGCAATCCATGATCAATCCAGCCGATAACTTTCACAGACTCATATAAAGTATTCTTTCAAACTTGGAGGTATTTTAAATTTGAAAGCATGCACCCGGATCAAATTCTTACCAATTTCCCCAGAATTTCCCAGTAGAACCTTCTGGGACTTAGTCACGTAGATTGAATAGTATACCCAGCTAGCTACAGGTATGTTAATTTTAATTTTGTAACAATAGAAAAGCAAATTCGCTATTTTCGCGCGAGTTTGACATTTCTTATGGCGGAACTGTATAGTGCTTCTTGGGTACAATTCAACCTTACATACTTTGCCCCAACAGCCAGTTTCTGACAAAGATTTTCATCGCCTGGCTTTCATCGGTTGCCGTAAGTGAGTCATCCGTGTGTTCTGTCGCTGTAGTAGTACGCCGACTGTCTGAGCTATCAATTAAAGAGTGGGAAGAATTGCCAGTAGCTCGTTTAGCTCAGGTGAGCTCTTCGTGGAAATCTTCCAGCTCTCGATTTGAAGAAGAAGAGCACCCTATTGAAGTTGGAATACAACACATATGCTGGAACATTTTGTGCGATTTCCCACCCACTGTACTGGCTGAACATTGCTTAGACTTCTGTTTGTTCCTTATTTTTCAAGATCATTCCACCGCTGATAAAAATGAGAATTCTGTAGATGATGTGAATGTATTTCAATGAATCACCTTTGTCAGGGGTTCCATCGATTTTCTAATTCAGGGCATTGTAAAACCGGGAAGGATTGAAAATGAAAAAAGATATCTGAACTACCTCGTTATATAAGAGTAAAAAAAGCAAATTGCAGTATGAATTGGATGAGTCAAAAACCAGTCTGCCAAGCACGTGGGGGCCTCATGAATCCACTCCCACCAAGTGCAAGTACATAGTGAAGTAGCTAAGCACTAGGTGTAGCAGTATGTATGGTGTAGCAGATTCCCACTTTGTTTAGCCGCTCCAAAAGGTCGGGTCTAGGATAATCGCCGACTTTGAAAAAGGTGTTATCGTAACTTTGCGAAAGGGAAAGGACAGAATGTCAAAACGAATCAAATTTTTCGCCAACATTTCCACCGCGCTTTCGATTCTCTTGTTCGATTCTAGACCGATTATGAGCTCTGGGTCGTGTCTGTGGCGCATCCCAACCCAACCGATACTTTGTATTCGGAGATCAACGATGGATACCATGTGCTGTGAAGGGAAAGTGACGATTCAATGTCCGGGACGTCTATGCGGAGAAAACTTCGATTTTTCATAGTTCCCTTATGCCGTTCATTAATATCTGTGTTCGGATCTCAACGGCCAGATAATCTACCCCAAATATCTGCCGGGTATCATAATGAAGAACAGCCCCGTTGGCTTGTCCTCCACATCTTGGACCTTGGATTCCCTCATGAAGCTTCTGCTAAAAGCTTCCTGTATTTTCTTCCTAGTCATTCTTTTGCTTCTTATTTCTTTTGGAAGTTTCGATAAAGCTGATGACACTCATGTCTCGAAAAAACCAATTCTTACGCAAGGGGAAAAACCAAAGGTCGGTTAAATTTAATTTTTTGATAAGAGTCACTCGGAAAACATTGTAATCAGTAATTTATTGCGATCATTCCTTCAAATAGTAGGTTTTCTTGCTAGTCAGTGCAACATCTAGGGAAATGGTAGCGGACATTCCAACTCTGTCTGTTAGAGTTTTCGGGGAACCCACCAGCTACCCGGTGAGCCTCCCACTCATTCGATATTGAATTATGCCAAATCTATCGAATTAGTCTCAATGACTGGCTATTAGATTTATTGGATAGCTGGTTCTGGCTAGTAGGCCTGAAAAAAAACCTGTGAACTTAGCCGTTCTAAAATATGCACCACTTGAAGCTTCACCACCCCCACCTCGCCACCTTCCCATCCCATCGTTCCTCATTCTCCCTCCCCCTCCCTCTCAACAATCACCTCAATCACAAAAAAGAATGAGCCTAGGTTAAATAAAATACTTTTGGAGAAGTTTTCTCCTCAATAGGTTTATTTTTCACATCATTGACTGGTTCCTTCGATATAAACCATGCCACTGTATTACTTCCGAAATTCGTTGAATACGTTCCGATGTGTTTTAGAAGCTAATGTAAATAAAACNAGAGTTTTCGGGGAACCCACCAGCTACCCGGTGAGCCTCCCACTCATTCGATATTGAATTATGCCAAATCTATCGAATTAGTCTCAATGACTGGCTATTAGATTTATTGGATAGCTGGTTCTGGCTAGTAGGCCTGAAAAAAAAACCTGTGAACTTAGCCGTTCTAAAATATGCACCACTTGAAGCTTCACCACCCCCACCTCGCCACCTTCCCATCCCATCGTTCCTCATTCTCCCTCCCCCTCCCTCTCAACAATCACCTCAATCACAAAAAAGAATGAGCCTAGGTTAAATAAAATACTTTTGGAGAAGTTTTCTCCTCAATAGGTTTATTTTTCACATCATTGACTGGTTCCTTCGATATAAACCATGCCACTGTATTACTTCCGAAATTCGTTGAATACGTTCCGATGTGTTTTAGAAGCTAATGTAAATAAAACGTGGAAGAGGAAAAAGAGGTGCAAAAGAAAATAGAAGAGGATTCAAGCATCACAGCACCCAATCAGCACTTTGCTACTAACAATTGCTTCAGCTAATATTTGCGGAAGAGTGACTAATGATCGAGAGTGAGAGTGGAATCGATGATGACACTTTGGCTGCAGACCGTTCCCCGCAAATCATCCTTTTTTTCTGGAAGCGATTTGGGAACGTAAAATCGAGCCCAAAAATGAATAGCAGCTAGTATTTCCCGAGAATACTGAGCACTTTGATTGCCTGCGATTGCATGGTATGTTTGTTGCGTTTGAGCACTCGTGACACTAATGTACATAACTGCCCCTTTCAATAGCACCATGTTAAAATTGCAAAAAAATCCATGACAAACACGAGGGGATCGTTAATGCCCCTCTCATGGATCAACATCTCTCGTCATCCACTCTTTCTCGACTTTGTCAGTGATCAATAGATTTCACATCAAAGCCATTTTTCATCCCCTCCGCGGTTCACTCAGTTTCCCAGAAGCGGTGAGGGTCATATGTATAGTCAGTGATCCGAATGTTACCGTGTGGACTCAGTGAACATTGGTGGTGGAGTGTGCTAAAAGGGGTGTGGTGCAGTAGGAACGAAATGGTCGCGTCGCGGTGAGATGGGCGTCGCGCGCGAACGAATGTGGCAGGATGCAGCGGTAGGTAAGAAATACAAGAACAAAAGTACTAATATAAGAATTATGCATAAAATAATGATCGCATATCGATTGAGCTGTATGAAGAACGCTAGAGCTGTAATAACGGCGAATAAGTGGTCCGCGACAGCCGCGCGCGGCAAATCGAGTAGCCAAAATCGTTCCTGACGCCCGTCTCCCTGCCTAAAGCAGATATCAGAGTAGAAAGAAGCGAGGGAGAAAGATTGCCTTTTTATGGGAGAATACAGAAGGGGTAGCAACAAATTCTCGAAAGGTAGGGTCACAAAAGAAAGAAAACGTGAGAACCAGAGCAACGTAATGATGAAGAATTGATGGCGAACAGGTTGTGAGGAGCAACAGAGCATAGTTAGGAGAAACTGAAGGCCTAAGCGAGTCAGTATCCAGTCCGATGAGGGCTAGGATGAGTGGAAAAAAAGGTTGAGGTTCAAAAGAGAAATAATGATAGTCAAGACCGATACCAGTGGCTTACCCAAATTTGTCGCGAAATTTTTCGAAAGTTCAGGCCTCAGGACGTTTTATCTTTGACTCTTATTGGGCGAAATTTTCCCTTTCCGAAAAGCTTCTGAAGAGCTCATTAACTAATTTAACGAAGTGGTGCGCTTTGTAATTGTACAGATCGGTTATACAGTTGGGCCGGGAAATGAGTTAGAATAGAAATCTGATGTGTTCTTTGAGAAAATCCAGTTTTTGATTATTTCCCAAAGTCCAGGTCTTCACCCACTTGCGGTTTCCAAGTATAAATAACCCTGGCTAAATTTGCAATAGGCAAAAACAAGCTCAGAACGTTTCTGTCCTCAGAACGAGTTTTAGGCGTTTGCGGTGCAGCGAGCTTTTTTTGTGTCTGTTAGTTGAATAGGGTGATGTATGACAGGGCCATTTCGTGAATGAACCTCTAGCTCAGCATAGATATGATAGTGCAATAAAATGGCGTGATTTGGCCATAGATACGAGCATTGATCGAAAGATGGAAGTTTGGTTCAACATGTACGACGGCAGTCAGGGTGGTTTACCTTTGTAGACCAACCTTGCACCCCTTCCTTAGAATACTTCCTAATTAAAGGGGAAGGAACAGTTTTGCTCGCTCTGGTGACACGAAGAAGATCATTGTTGACTGATCATTTTCGATTGATACTTTCAGTTATTACTTCAATTGCCACAATTTTCAAAAAAAAATTAGTAGTAAAAGGTACAATTATGTACCTTTTACTACTAATTTTTACTCCTTTGCTCCTGGAAATAATTTTTGCACCGAATTCCATATTCACGAGAACATCAAGGGCAGCATAATTTCCCAGACAAATCAGAAATATTTTCAATGTCAGCTGAATAGTAACTAG